ACTCTAGTGACAGAGAAATATATATAAAACCTCTAAATGTATCCCTAGGGTTAGTTGTGCCATTAGATTTCTTTAGCTGTAACCCACAGGAACTAATTTTGGCTAGGAAAAATGGGAATTTCCTGGAAAAATATGGAGAAATTCAGAGAATTCTACAAAGAGACTGACAAACTGAATTTCATCCAGACAGGTGTCTGGGCATCTCTTCCCAGCAACACTACTCTCAATTAGTGAAAGGCAATTTCACAAACAGAAATGGGGTTGCTAATAGGAAAGGGAAAATATGCTGAGGAAGGAGATTTTAGGAGGGGTATATGTAACTTCCATGTATCGTTTCAGAAACAGTCTTATGATTTAATATGTGTATGGAATCTGAAGTTCCTCAATGACAGGCAAAATGAGATAACATCAATACAAGAGTTCTATCTTCTAATATCCTTAGTAAAATTTTATTTTGTTTCAGTCGCCAAAGTATTCTAAACATTTTCTAGGTCATAAAACCAATCTCCAAAGGCCTGGCATCAATATTAGTGTACTTTAAATGTCCACAGTTAGAATGTTAACAGGACAATGAACAATGAACTGTGTGAGTGGTAGACATTAGACTAGGTCTGTCCCAAGAATACTTGGTTCTTAAAGTGTAGGAGAACGATACTATTACAGTATGAAAGGAAACTTCCCTTCTCTTAGCAAAGATCAGTGGTTACCAACTTATTATTTTAGAGTTGTGGAAAGCTTGAAACAAAGCTTTCCAGACTTCGATTCTGATTAATCAAAACTGACAAATACACAGTTAGCTAGGATTGAGAGCAGGATTTGCTTACCCTGCTTACCTAAGTCAGAGGCCACAAAACAAGTGGTTTAAGTATTTCAATGTTAGGTAACCTTCTACAGGGAAGGAACCTAGGTGTTTTGCACAGAATATTCTGTGAAATGGGTTGTAACTCACAGCTCTTACACACTATCCTAAAGTAACTACCTATGTCCTAATATATTGTATGACTAACCCAGGAAAGATTACTTTTGGATAAAATATCCATGATTTTGAGTCCAAAGATTTTATATTTTTCTAAAATGAACAAAATTACCAAGTCTGAACAACTGCAATGATGCCTTGGCGTTTAAGTGTGTTCTGGTAGTCAGTACTGCCACCCGATGGCAAATGGTAAAATCCAAAACCGAAAGACTGCAGCGAACATGCAATAAAGGATCCAAGCACCAAATGCACTTTACCAAATGCACCAAGCAAATAAAATTCACTTTAAGCACTCAGTAGTTCCTCCCAATATTTAAAATTTCATTTTCTGTGCCAAGCAAATTACATAACTTCCTGGAGGACTAGTCTTCTCAAACCTCTGTACTGGAATGTCCACATGCTACTATACTAACAATCTAATACATTTCTAATTCATGTATTTAATCAAAAAATAAAAATAAATTGAGCACCCACTACACATCCGGCACTACAGAAGGTGCTGGGGACACAAAGGTGATCAAAACACAATCATGTTAACTTCATGGGGTTTGTATGCCAGTAGGAAAAATAATCCAAGAATCACACAAACATAAATGTGACAGATGGTATAAATAAGGCGGAGCACCATGAAAGTATGTGACGGGGAGATCTGACCTGGGCTTAGAACGCTGCTGCGGCGGGGCTGCTCTCGGAGGAGGTTCAGCCTGTGAAAGGCCTCGGGGCAGGGAGGCGCAGAGGGCATGCCGGAAACTGCAGTAAGGCCAAAGGGCGGCTTTAAACGGAGAATCAGGGCCACTATACAAAACCATCAAATAGCAGGACTTACATATTCAGGTATTATCTTTCAACCAATGCTCTGAAGGCAGAAAACTCCAATCCTTCTATGAGAACTGTCTGAACTGGATTGAAAAGAAACACTGAAATCCTAGAGAATATCCTAAAGACATTTAAAGGGACTGAACGGCAGGAGTGAGCAGGACATTCTGGAACAGGAAAGGAATAAGGGCGATCTTCAAACGGTTAGGGATCTGCCTGGTATCTAAAAGATGGTAACCTGTTTTTCATCTCTACAGTGTAGGGGAAAACATGTCCTGTTGCACTGGATTAAGAAAAATCATCCCGGAAGCCTGCTGGTTTGTCTCTTTAACCTGTCTAATCTGAGCAAACATTGCACGCTGCAAAGTTTTTCTGAGTAGACAGGAAAGAGCTACTGAACCCATTCTTCATCAATTAGGGCAAAGATCTATACTTTAAAATCTTTTATTGAAATGTGTTTAAAATAAAAATGCTTTTCAAAGTTGCCTTTTTCCCTCCTTTGACTTATTTAAGACTTAATACAAATTTCATTACGTGAAAAATGTCACAGACACAGATGAGTCCACACAGGTCCCTGTCCTTTAAGGAATCTATGTAATATGCATATATCGTTGGCAGGTGGACATTATGACAAAATTTAAACATCATAAAAGAAACTTGTACGCCATTTAAAAATGCTGCATTTAGCATTTTCTCTGTTCTCTACTACTTTAGCTTTTGGGTTTCATAAGTACTTCCTGCAGGAAAAGGCGGACAATTGACTTTAATGGTGCTATCTATCCTTAGAATACACTCTTATATAATTTGGAAAAATGCCTCAAATGATAGAAAGGATGAAAGTAGATGGTTAAGGAAGAAAGAGTTAGATGAGAAGGTTAGGGGAGAAGCAGGGAGCAGTGCTGGCTGAGAAGATGTCTCAGGAGGCGCTCCCCACAAAAACTAAACTGAGAAAACCAGGAGACAGGCAGGTGGGTGGGGCCGGCCCTTGAGAAGGGTTTAGGAAGGGGATTCAAGACTTACTACGAAGCTAGATTTTTCCTCTGTGTTCTCTTCATAAAATCTCAATTTCTACACTACAACACGTATGTTTTTTAATACTAGAACAGAACGAAACAGAATGACCAAAGTTAACCAACATAAAAGTATAAAATGTAATGGAAACAATCTGTTATTTTTAACCCAAAGAAGCCAGTTCCAAATAACACATTACAAAAACCTGTGCCAGATTTTGACACTCAGAAAGATGGCCTCCTTCGCTCTCATTTTCAAATATCTCTAGTTCTTTGATCATTTCCCAGATGTTCTGGAAACAAATCTCTTCCTCCCCCCCACCCGCCCCCACTCCCCGCCCCAGTGGTTCCTACACATTCTTCACATCTGAAATGAAGCCCTCATCCTCCTCCTAACAATTTTGGTCATAATCCCAACTTCCTTAAATACAGACTCAGGGATCAGGTCTGAAGCTCAAAGGAACCAAGCAACATCTTAGCAAGCACTCCACCCTCAAGGCATTCCATTAATTCAGAGATCAATTCTTTAATTAATAAGAATTAGTAATGGTACAAAATATGTAGGATTGCTATAATATTTTATAATTTACTTAAAAACGTCTCTACACATAAAACTATTCATAGTATCACTTTGTTTCTCCTTCTCCATTTCCATTGGCTAATAATCAAGAATTTTTATGATTTGAGGCATTACTCAGGAGAATAATAAAATGTGAAAGGCCAGAACAACAAAAGATAGCACGTTGAACCAGACCTATACAACAAAACCCTGAGAAAATAAAGCATTTCAAAGAAGGATGAATAAGAGTACAGAATGACAAAGCACAGATATGTTCATAGAGAACAGTATACACAAACGTTTCCCCTTTTGTTTTCAAGACTGTTGAACTAAAACGAGGGTGAGCAGCGGGTGTGAAAAACACTACATGTGTGAGCTCTACCTGTCTTCCCCCAGCCTTAGTCTATGTATATTCTTGCTATCCCATGTTCTCCTGAAAAAATAACATTATTTTAGTTTCAAGACTGAAATGAAAAAAAAAAGAACGATACTTCAAGGCACTCTATAGGAGAAGAAAGGTCACAAATTATTAGAATAGCCACTTAATAAAAGACAAGGCCCTATAATTGAGGAACATTAAGAAATTCCTTTCTGTCATAATCATACTGGGTAATCAAATTCAATTCAATAAGTAATCACTGGTATTTTGTGTGGCTGGAGTAACTAATCTTTTAATGAGATAACATGGGTTTGAGATGGGCATAATTTTCACAAACCCTAAAATAACTCCCTAAAGTAAGCTCTCGGCATACTCACAGCAAGACGTTTTTAATACTGATCGCCAGAATGATGGATTCAACTGTGACAACTGCGTTCGCTTCAGTTTTTCCTTCGGTCTGATAGCCACTATTGCTCCTACTGCTACCGCTATATTATAACACATGAATATGTCACTTGCTAATATGGATTGTCTATGTCAAAGTTCCCTCCACCACCAGAATTAATATATTTGCACAAAATAAGCTCTCGATATGTAAATATAATGAGCACGAAGTAGGCTGTGGGTGGGTAAGTATATGGATAACAGGCCTCTCTTCGTCTAATTTCACAATGACGGAATTTATTATTTTATACTAAATATTTAAGTATACTAAAACTCTTCAATGTAGTCTAAAAGTAATCTTTAATGATAGACATGTATAAAAACTGTTTAGAAATCCTTCTTCAGGAATCTTTTGCATTAAGTAGCTGAGATACGCTTCTCTGCTTTTTAAATATGCTATGATCTTTTAAAAAGAGCCACAAGAGGGCAGTATTTCCTAAGAAATGTTTGTTACAGGCACCTATGTTTTTGCAATAAACTATTTACCCATCATAAATCAAATTTGAAAGCACCACATGTTCATTTCAATCAAGTTATCAAATCTTTAGAGATTCATAAGGACCACACACCTACAATTTAAAAAGAGCTTCATACATCACTCAATTCTCAAAAGAGCGTGCAGACAAAATCTACACCAATTCTATTTTGAAGAAGCAAACTATTAAGAAGCTGATTGTTAACTGAACAGTCTAAAAACAAAGCCAAGAAATGCAATTTGGGTGTTGCAAACTTTAGCAAAACAGATGAGTGTAGATTTGCAGTAATCTCTCAGATACGTGAACCAGTTTCAAAATGCGTGACATCATGCGAGCTTACCTTGCCAGCTATCGTTGCAGACACACGATTTTTCTCCAGTGAGGTCACAGTAACCATGATCCGGGCTGCCGCAATTGGCTTTACAGTAGGGAATATCACACGCTTCGCCCTTCCAGTATTTATCACATTCGCAATACACTTGACTTGGAACAGAGACACTGGTTGTACACTTCCCATGACCAGAGCAATTGTTAGGACAAGAATTGATTCTGTAAAATGTAACGCGTATATATTCGAATTCAAGATAACGGAACAAGATTCCTGCTTGATATTTTGTAAGTTTTATCATTTTATGTCGTCTTATGTACCTCATTTACCACAATTTCACAATGTGACTTCAACTTCTTACTCTGTACCCTTTGACCCCTAATGCAATTCAGTTATATTTATTTGCAACTGGCCTTAGCCCTTCCGGTGAGTTTACTTGGCTACCGAGACTCCAGACTTCCGGGGACCGCACCTGCAGGATACATACAGTTCCAAGCACAATGCCCTGTAAAGGTCTAAGTACTCAAACGCTTTGACTATATATTTTACAGAAAAAAAAATAGATAAATTCACAAATACCTGAGACCGCAGGAGAAGCCAAGATATAACTTGTTATATAATATTTAAATAGCATGCTACCATCTATATGCTGTTATGTAGAAATGAGATGTTTGTCAAAGATTATTTTAAGGCCCTTTAACCAACTCGTAAATTCTACTATAATCTATTCTCCTTTGCCTACACACTTGAGACAAATACATGTTACGATAAATTTCTGATTCAAGGTATTTGGAATGTTTTATTCCTGGTGAAAATTCTCTGGTTGTCATTTTCTACACTCATAAAAAAAATAAGAACAAAAAGTATACTGAGTTCCTCTGTGCCATTCCTAGGAAAGCACCTGAAAGCATCTCTGGCTACTTCACGTTGCCCTTGGACTTTATATTGTCATTATATATAAATAATGTCAGACATATAATAGATTTTCAGTAAATATTATTTTTGTTTTAGAGGAGACAATGACATAACCACCTACCTTATCTCCTAAAGCCTCGATTTCCTCCTAAGTAAAATGGGAAAAATTCCCGCTTGACAGAATTGCTGTGACAAGAGTTAAAGAGTATAATAGACACAGAGCTCCCAGGGCAGCCTGGGGGCGGGGGAGGGGGAGGACCGCAGCCCCGCAGCCCCCACCCTGGGGCCCAGGAAGGCGGGCACTCCCTGCAACCCCGCCCGCACACCCGCTGCGAGCCACCCTGCGCTGGTTTCTACTGGTTTCATCATTCCGCGACCGTTTCAAAGTTCGTAATTCATTTTCAACCAAATGTGCAACCACAATGCCCTAAGACTTAGAATTCACCCTAATGCAAGCTTAGACAGTGTTTTGAGGCATGTTGTTAACATTTTAGGTCACGAAGAGATCCTATGCATTTTGAAACTCGACACACAGGCCCGTTCCTCGCATATAAGATATTTACAAAAACAATGAACGCTTTTAAGTCAAATTATAAAAATCATCACAGTGTGAAATGTAACAAATACTTACGAATAAAAAATGTTGAAACCAGTTAGATTATATGCAGCATCGCTAAAAAAATGTAACAGTGCATAGCCGGACGTTGTAACAACTTCAGGCACACTTTCGTTTCCCCGGATTTCGGGGACGATCAACCCACTGTAAGAGAGCGAAATTCAACGTTGTGTGTATTAACATACATACGACTGCTAATCACATCAAATTTACTCAAAAGTATTCTTGTCAGAATCGCTATCTCTATGAGGACAGGCAACGAGACGGAGAATAAAGCGAAAACGGGTTCCTATCCGTCCCCTGCCAGGCGGCCCCTCCGCAGCGGACACCCCACTCGCACGCGCCCCGACGCCACCGCACTCTGTTCTCCCCTCCCCGTTCGGACTGCGTGCCCCGTTTCTCCCTTTATCCTGCTCTCCATCCTCTCCTAATACCACAGGACGGTCTCCTACTTGCCTTCATATACGAACCGTCCCGTAAAGCCACCCTGGTACTCTAACAAGTGACCCTGTCGCTCCACTTGTTCCCCCTGGTTAAGAATTCCGGGGAAGCTGGAAGAAACAGACCCCACACCAGCTAAGTGACTACAGTGACATCCTAGCGAAAGCTGTTCGCTTCCAATGTACTATTCCAGGTGTTTTAGGTCCCCTCAAAGTATACACTTCTTATATTTCCTTAAAGTTTTGCTTACCAACACAAATTACATTAATATAGAACTATTCCAAAAATACATCGTTACTCACTTAAGACAACACGCGCGCAGGCGCGCGCACACACACACACACACACACACACACACACAAACTAACTTGGGGGGAATTAAATGTGCAAAATGAAAAGTTTAAGTTAATAACAGGTACTTCTCCCTTTTTTAAGCCTGTTTGTTCACGGAGAAAAATTACATATCATCATTTACTTACACCATACTGGTCTCTCGAAATCTGTGAAAACATGCAATATGAGAAAAAAAGGACGCTGCTAACGACAAATTGCGCTACTCACAGCAGGCCACTCCTTTACATACTGTTAAGCCTATGTTTAGGCACCACTGGGAACTAAACTCCCCCATTCAAAGCATATTTGAGAGAACAAAATAAAATATTATAGTCAATTTATTTGGCAAACATAGCCTCAAAAACAAACAAAAAGTAATCAACTCTTGATGCTTTCAAAATTATTACAACTACTAGCTTATGTCTGTGAAGGAACAAGAGGTTTTGAAAAAGAGACTGTCCACAGAGTTCAAATTCCGTAAAACCAGTCTTAGTTGCACATGTGTATTTTTCACTGGAGTTGGATTATATCAAAATGAGTACTTTGCTAAAAACAATATTCCCAAGCCTTTATAATGAAAACAGTTAATGTCTCTGAAACAGATTTTTTAAAAGATTTATTTGCCTGGTTGTTTATTTATCAGTATTTGTAAAGCATTAAATAAATGAGGGTTTCCGCCTCTTGCATGACACACCATGCCATTTGGACCAGCCAACCCCGCCTCTGACGTCAACTAGAAAAGTGACAAATTATATAAAAACAAACAAATCAGCCTGAATGTCCTGGAGAACTGAGAGGACAGTGTGCCCAGGCGCTAAGGCCCTTCCTCCTTACAGATGTTTGCTGATTTCAAAGTTGGAGGAGGGGTCTCAAGGGCTGAGCTGCTGGGCTGTGGCGCCGGGCTAGGGAAACAAAGTGTGGAAGCCAGGGCCTCCCTTTGACCTGAGACCCCACAAAGAACAGAAGTAAACGTGACCTAGTAAAAGACAGGGCCTCCAGGGGATGGCGCGGAAACTTGGGTGGGGGTCACCGCGACGCCTGAATTGGGATTCCATTGACCGTGCATTGTTCGCGTCCCTAGGCTCCCGCGGCAGGACTATAATCTCTTTCTAGGGCTCAAATTATTATTGCATGTGACTTTACAGACATGATGCCCAGCACATGATTGTCCACCATGCAATAGAAATAAATAACATTTCTCCAATCCAATCCATTCCCTGCAACCTAAGAAGTCTCTCCTCCAAGGTCCAATTTCTTTAGTGAGCTGTACAAGAAAGCAATGCTGCAGTGATTAAGGGATTATAAAATCCAAGCTCATATTCCGATTCCCTCGCTTACCAGCTAGGCAACCTTGGGTCCCTCACAGAATCTCTCTGTGCCTCAATTCTTCATTTATAAAATAGCAATAGTAGTGCCCGACTAACAGGTTATCGGTGAGGATTAAATGAGTTAATGTACATAAAGAACGCTTGCACACTGCCTGCCATATAATGAGCATTCAGTAGACATTATTGACTAGTGTTGATTGGGTCATGTGGCTCCTACCTCTCTATTTACATTCCCTATGATCAAGTTACTCATGACTGCTTATCATTTTCTGCTATCCCAAAATATAATGTTCTTTAGTATGTCTATGCCTTTGTGCACATGTTTTTCCCTTTCCAAGTACCCTATCTGGTCCTCATCCTTTACCTATCCTTCTTCTACTCACAGCGAAATTCACCGTGAAGAACTAGTTACTTCTTCTGAAATCATATGGCGCTCTCCGAAACCTGATCACAACATTTATTGTGCTGTGTAAGAAAAATCTGCTTTCCTGCTGCCACCAGTGACTAATTGCTATATCGTCACATACCCTCCAAAGCCTCGGAATTCCCCAAGGGATAGGCGTGGCTCTGTTATTCATGGTGCGCCCTGACAGTTTATGGTGACGAGGTGACTCGCAGTGGGTCCCTATATAGTTCAGGCTGATGAGATGACTCAGGATGGAAGCTGGCCACTCCGGGAAGACCAACTATGTGGTGCAAAGGGCTGGGACTTCGAGCCACAAGAAATCAATCTGACTTCCAAGGAGAGTGGGGGTCAGGCTAGAGATTGAGTTCAGTCTTGTGGCCAATAATTCAATCAATCATGCCTATATAATGAAACCCTAACACAAACTCTAGACACCTGTGGCACAGGTGAGCTGGTGACACATTCACGTGCTGGGAAGGTAGCACATCCTGAGGGTACAGATGTTTTGTTGATCATCCTCCCAGACCTCTCCCTATGTGTCCCTTCTCTTGGCTGATTGTGATTTTTATTCTTTATAATAAAACTCTAATGATATGTGGAGTGCTTTCCTGAGTTCTGTGAGTCATTCTAGTGAATTATTGAACCTCAGGGCGTAGCGGGCACCCCTAAATTTGTAGCCAGCTGGTCAGAAGTGCGAGCAACCCGGGAACCACTGAACTCTCAGCTGGTGTCTGAACTAAGGGCAGTTTTACGGAGGGCTGTGCACATAACCTGTGAAGTTTGGCCCAACCCCAGGTGGTTGGTGCCTGAAGTCATACAGGGGTGCCCAACCTTGTGGCGTCTCTGGGCCACACTGGAAGAAGAAGTGTTGTCTTGAGCCACACATTAAATATATTGTGCCATGTAATCACAAAAAGAAAAAATCTCATATGTTTTAAGTAAATTTACAATTTTGTGTAGGGCTACATTTACAGCCATCCTGAGCTGCATGTGGCCCACGGGCCACAGGCTGGACACCCCTGGACCTTATTTCTCCCTACATCCTCCAGGCTTATGATAGCCTCTGGAACTGAGTAGGCTATCAAATGTTTGTCGAATCGCAAATACTTATACAGCTGGAATAATTTAGGCAATTAGATTCTGAATGTTTAGCATTGTAAAATACAGCTTAGCTTTTAAGTCAATAAACTATCAAGGGCTAATCCTGACTCTACCATCTATTACATGTAAACTTAATTTATCTGAGTCTCAATTTTCTCAACTGTAAAATGGAGATAACAGTGATTCTTCCACAAGACCCTCATTACACAGCATTTAAACTGCCTGCTACAGTGCTCAGCATCAAGTGGACGTTCAATAAGCATAACTGTTTCATCTCCCTTGGGACCACTAACAGAAACACTTGCTAATGAAAGGTCACTGTTCCATCTTCACAGTAGAATACTAAATCCCATCCTGCTGCCTTACGAAAGTGTCCTGTAGCATCAAGAAAGGGCAGGAAAGAGTGTTAACGGACCACTATTAATTAACGCAAAGTCATTACAACTACGAGAAAAATAAAAGAAAAGCCGCACATCTAAATGATGGTCAGTCAATAGTGTCCTAAAAATAGAGCAATGATAGCAGAATGACATCTAAATTGCTAAAAATAAGTGTATGAACCCAGGACCTTGTCTGTTGCAATGAATTATCTTACAATGTAATTATTCACAAGGCTCTACTCTGTTTTCTATCTACTGTCCTTAGATGAAGGGCATTCATGGCTACTCTTTATGTAGTTTTCACACAACTCAAAAATTAAGTTCTAGAAGTATTCTGAGCGACAGCAATGTCACACAAGTGTCTAAGCTCCAAGGAGTCACTTTGAATAGTTACTTGGAAATAAAAGTCCTTACATGTTTGTCCAAAAAAAAAAAAAAAGTTCACATTCCTGAAAAACCAAATATTTGTAACATAAATAGTAAAAAGAAAATGAAACATTTTGAAGGAAACAATAAACTGTTATCTATGTCTAAATTTTTAACAATGATTTAACATATAAGAGATACTGTGTACATAAAAAAAGTAAGGAAAAATGTAATGAATAACTGGTCAACAATCACATTAGTTAACTTACACATAAAATCTACACCACATGTTCTTCATTTTTCCTATGTCTAATATATTTTCTCATATTTGTAAGACATTCTGTAATAATTTGTATATACAAACATAAAGATTTTTAAATTGATACTAAAATTTTTGTGATTTTAAAATTAAATCTAACTACTAATATTGTGAAGCAACCGAAATTCCTAAATTTTAAGAACTGATGGACATACTTTCTTTATTAAACCATTAAATAACCATTTTATAAAAATTTAAAATGTTATCATTTTGCTAAAATAAAAAGATAACTATTATATATATATTTTTTCTTTTGTCAGCTAAAACTCACATTAATCTGTCCAAATAGCTCTCAAAACATCATCAACTCACTTTAAAAGAACACACTATATACAGCAAAAATAAAGGACAATCATTAAGAAATCTCCATTTCTGATATGACTTTTTTATATTTACTACATCAATACTGACATTATTACATAGACAACTAAGTTGACAGTCAATATCTCTGCAAATTTATTGTGAAATACAGGGCAATATATATTTAAAATTAATGAATTATACATAGTTACTTTTCTAAAACTGTAAGTTCATCAATGAAGCACAAGCACTCACCTAAGCACAGCTATTAAAGGTGCATATATTGAATCTCCATCATAAACATACATATGATCCCAGCTACATTCTGTAGCAAAATGGTTGAATCTTAATCTTAACACTGCATTTGGACTAAAAAATAAAATAAAATATTATAAAATTAATATGTAATATACAAAGAACACACTGAAGAAATTTTAGGTAGAGTATTTTATTAAAATCTATTTACAGATAATTTAGCTATAAATCAGTATAAAAGACTGGTAAGCAGTTATATCTAATTTGTAAAAAAAAAAAAAAAAGACATGCAACTTTAAAATCTATTAACAGGCCATATGTACATATCGTCATTTTCTAAAAATTCAGCTCACAGAAAATGTTCTATTGATTAAGGTGGAGGTTAAATAGATTGCATATATAACTGAAACTTTATTGAACTGTATACTTAATATGGGTACATTTTATTGTATGCAAATTGTACTTGAATAAAGTTGAATTTTAAAATTCAACACTCAAGAAGCAACTTTTCATATTTCTACACAATTTTTAACTGGAGGCCTGAATAAGGTCTTCAGATTGAAACCTTTGACTGAAAGGTCTCAGTATGATATATTATTAACAAGTAAAGAAAATGAGACCATAGATGCACAAGGAATTAATAACTTTTAATTTCTAAAAAACTTTTTAAATAACCCCCAAAATACTAGTTTTCTAAATACACTCTTTAAAAAATCATAAAATGGTTCAAACAATTCATATCAATTCATTTATGATCCATTCACAATGTTTAAATAAATTCAGTCTCAAGCCCTTAATACTGAAAAAATACCTATAAAATGATAATTCACTCGTCTCTATCAAATGTTTTTTTAAACACCCTTAGAACTAAAATGCTGAATAATATGAACCAGTGGTATAATCCAGCATGGAATATTTTTACTTTCTATGGAATCTTCAAATTCCACAACAAGATGTTTAAAAGAAACAAATAATGCCTACTTGATTCAATGCCACACTAACATAACCAAAAAATAAAATATATGTAAAAATTAAACTAATCACAAGTAAATGGGTATTGTAGTTTATATTAAACATATCTAAAAGTTGTAAATCCTATAAAAATATCACGAACGTTTTTCTAATAATAAGCAATTAAGTAAACTATAATTATAAGCTTGTTATACTTTACTGCTTTAACAGTGATATGATCATCTTTTTTATCATTTCAGAACAAGTATACCCAAATTGTATACTTACTAGCCTTCAATTAGCCATGTACATTTAGTTTTATACTTATAGTTAATTGGACCATCTGTTAAATATCCAGAAGGTTCTGTTAACCTAGAAAACAAAACCATGTAAATAATTACCTTAAAGCAACTTAAAGAGATACAGTAGCATAAGAAAATTTAAAAGACATTAAAGCAAAAGCAGTTTACAAAAAAAGAAGAGGAAGAAGTTGTTTACAACTTAGAATATTTTTCAAATTGCCACGTATTTCTCTACATCTCAAAAGAATTTATTTTGGATTTCTTAAAAGACTTGATGTATTAAGACTGTTCCATTTTACATAGTGGGAAAATGCACTAACGACTGAATATTGTGTTGATGGGTTGAATGTTGATGCAAAATAGATTAAGTTAAATTTCTTCTGCACAAAAAAAGTAGGTGGAGGCAAAAGAAGGAAAATCAAATGCACTTTGCAAAATGCAGATCTATGGAATACAGAAAGAGTGTATGTGCCTACTACCGTCAGAGCTACATTGTTAGCTATGTTTGTTTTTCATGCACAAGGAGTGTTTAAAGTAGCCATCACAGACTTACTGAGTTTGGCAACCTGTTTTCATTATCATTTTCTCTTGCCTACACAATTTTCAGATTTTAAAAATATTTAAAAGAGGATCCCAATCCAGTTCATTTTGTTCCCCTTAGTTCCAGCCTAATTATTTTATCAAAGAAAGACCATATTTTAAATAATTAAAATAGCTTCCCATTTAGCCTTTATATATTTCTATATGAATACAAACATATATGCACTTCAGAGCTTATCAGTCTTTATATATTAACATATACATTCACAGGTATACACACATATATACACACACACACAGATATCATGGTTACTATCTAGTTTTAGATAAAATTAAATTTTCCTTATACAATAGAGTCTTAAAAACATTACGATAAAAAAGTATCATCTATCCAAATCAAGGCTGACGGAAAGGTCAGTCAATATGAATGTGACTTTCATAATCCCTGCCAAGTTACTTTGGTCAACAAGGGGGCTAAATCATGCTTGGAAAAGTTTTTGAAGAGCAAAAGATAAATTTCAATGTTCTCAAATTAAAGTGATAATCAATTGAGCATTTTCTACATGCCAGGTACTACTGTTAGTGCATAATGTGTTACCTCATTATAAAATCCCCAAAACCTTGCGAGATAGTTAAGTAGTTGCTAATCCCATACTGAAGATGAGAAAACAAAAAGCACAGTTAAATAACAGGTTAAATAACTTGTCCTGATTTTTCACTTCCAATAATACCAGATGAGGTAATCCAGACAAACCCGCCACTGAGGACAACTTAAAAAACTAAGGAACAATTCTAAAATCTAAAAAGCATGCTGTAAGTAACAAAACGGTAAGATCTGCCAAGGCAAGATCAAGAAGTTGCAAATTCCAGGCATTCAGAGCGGCTTTTGCTCCGCAGAGATCTGTCCAGTCAGAAGACACTGCCAAAGGCTGAGAGTGCTCTTGGCAGCCTCGGCAAGGGAGGGGGCAAAGGCTGGAGGCAGCGGCCTGGGAAAGGCAGGGCTCGACTAAACAACATGGCACTTTGAACGGGGACACAATGACGTGCTCTTGGGGGAAAGGTGTACCTGAAGTAAACTAGCCCTTCCGTGGATGAGTCGGTGGGGCAACGGCAAGCCCCAAGACTCACAATTGGCTTACAGTGATAGGAAAACAGCCAAGGCGTCTAACAGGAGAGACGAAAATATTCTCCAAAGAAAGATAACATCATCGTAGGTCTCAAGTTATTTCTACCTATAATTTTTTTAAAATAAAAATGTCTAACATGATTGAAACTAATTAGTCATAAGAAGATACAGGACAACAAAATAAGCACCAACAGAGAGCAGGAAGAGACCTGAAGGTGTTCTAATTATGAGAGTGATCAGATGCAGCCTATCAAACAAACAGGCTTTACTAAGTTCACAAAGACAAAAGACAATTTTAAATAGGGGCAGTTAATTGAAAACTTTAAAAAGCAACAGAGCCCCACTGAAAAAAATAATTTAAAAAATCTAATACTAAAAACTACCATAACCAAATTCATTTAATGGGCAGGTTTAACAACACATTCAATACAGCTAAAACAGGGCGAGAGATCTAGAAGACAGCTCTATAAAAATATCCAAACTACAGCAGAATGATTGAGGATTCAACCCACTGGGTTTGGATCACTCCTCCACCAGGGAAAATCCCAACCAGCTGGGTCTCGCTGAGGACAGGGGACACGTAGAACCCGGGTGTGGAAGAACAAAACCATAGATGTCAAATACAACCTTGTAACAGATTATAGGAACAAGGATCCTAACAGCTTTGCATAGTTTCTACTTGCTTGTTATATATACATCTTCTTTCTCCACATTTTGGTTTTACATACAAGTTGTTATAAATTAACTTCACAACTTAGACTTTAGATAATGGAATATTCAGTCTGACTACAACGGAATATGAAGATTAATTAAGCTAACCAATGAGCGATTAATGACTCTTGGAACTGTGTTTCTTCATTTTGGACACTTGGCAAAAGGGTATCTTCTTAGACAGAAACATAGAGTCGTTTGGATGTGGGGGAGCTCACCTGTGTTTAGAGGGAAGCATACAGAAGCTGAAAAACTGAAGGGTCGATTGTGCCAGTTACCCATTGCCTCTCACCCCAAAATTCACACAATTCACCTATGCTGTGAAAATTGATCTGGGCCCTTTAAATCTCTTTTCTTTGCCAGATGGCATGGTGCGAAGCTGGCGAGCTTTGTCAGTGGAGCGCAGTGCAGAGACTGCGGGAGCAAAGAGTCCCGCTTCCTGGTTCCCATGTACTCAACGACCTCCCGCAGCTTGCTGGCTCCTCCAGCACTGGGCCCCTACAGTACCTTAGGGCCCGTAGCACCCAGCCACCAACAGGTCCCCCGGCACTGTCCCTCGGGCCTCCAGAGGAACACTGCCCTGGGAATAGCTTTTCCCAGCATCCTATACGGTAACCATGGCAAGTTCCAAGGGGCAAACGTCAAGCAAGTTCCATCAGTGCAGGATTACAGCAGCTTTCGTGACATAAGCCATAGCCATGCCATGGCCTCCCAACAAGGCCTGGGCGTCAGGCCAGGAGGTGGGGACTCTTACATGCCCTGTCTCCTCAGAAGGGTGTGGCTGCTTACGGCTTATGGCTCATAAGCAGCCATAAGGGGCCACTCCTTGTGTCTACAATTGCAATACTTTTCAAAATTCTCTTTACTTCTTCCTAGCCAAGTTCTCATTACTCTAATCCCCGTTACAGTCAATTTTTTTTTTACATTAAATTTTTCCTATTAAAATTACCAAGTGATCCTCTTTCCTGACTGGACCCAAACCAATCAATAATAATAATAAGCAACATGCAAAATAACATCACAACGGCATACCATTATGCACCCAATAGAATGGCTAACATTTAAATGACTGACTGATAAAATATTGGCAAGGATGTGAAGAAAAAGCATTCTCATAGGAATAAATCAGTAGGACAACTTTAGGAAGTAATTTAGTACTAACTGGCATACTTGAAAACAGACACATCTTAGGGAGTGGCCGGCAGCATAAGAACTACACCCATATCCTCTCAGATCCTTTTATCATTTCCTTACACCCCACGCCGAGGGTGCAGATGTGGTGGTAATAACCCACAGCAGGCTATATATAACATCCCAGTGACTAAGGCTTCCCCTGGGAAACCAGTGGAAAGTGATGCGCTGACTAATGCAATAGGCTTACGCCATATCTCCATCCAGTATTTGAGAAATATTAGAGTAGCAGGGGTAATTACAAGGACTGTGGAATTAGTGGATCGCTGTTAAAAGCCACTGATATGCTAAAGAAGGAAAACGGCAGCAGAGTGCCTTTAGGGGAAGACTTTGCCGTGCACAGCTTTGCCCTATAAAACTCAACTCAACTCAACTCGCGGACCGCCAGTTCTAGATCCAGTGTGAAAGCCAGGGCACTATGTAACATTTAAAGGAACCCTCTCCTCCTGAGGAGGGGAGATGAGGCTGAACAGTGAGCCCAGGACCAGATTGCGAGAGGAGCAGAATGACAGAAAAGGTTTCATTCGCAGCTCTGCCGAAAGGTCAGTACCGCAAACAGGGCCCCACGAGGAGGTAGAACCGGATGCCTACAAGGGTGCCGCGGGACGGATGCCATGGAGAACCTTGAACCACTGGATGTTTTTGGACACTTTGGGCCTGTGAAAGTGTTCTTTAACCAGGGCTGACAGTGAGAGAAATAAAGTCTCAGCCTCTTTAACATGAATACCCTTTTTAAATGAAGCTATAGCAACAAGTAACACCAGAAATGAATTAAATCAATCAATGGCAAGTGGCTAACGTCAACATACATCCCAAAGTATGCAATTAGTGGTAGCGCCGTACACAGGAACCTCACACAAAAAAAGATAAATTAAAAGTCCCCAAATGTTTGAAAATGGAGCGACAGACTTTTAAGTCACAACAACAATTAGAAAATATTTTTAACTGAATACCAAAATCACAACACATCAAAATTTAAAAGATGAAGCTAAACCAGTGTTTAGAGAGAAATCTATAGATTTAAATGTGTATAGTAGGATGTTGATAATCAAGTACAGCTCAAGAAGCTAGAAAAAGAACAATAAATTAAACAACAAGAAAGTATAAGGAATGGGATAATAAAAACAGAAATATCTGAAATAGATAAGTAATATAGTAAATTTATTTTCTGTACTATATGACTAAAGTCTGGCTTTCTAAAGACTAATAAAATTAATAACCCTCTAGCAAAACTGATCAAGAAAAGTGGAAAAAATATTAATTACCATTATCAAAAAGGAAAGGAGGACCCTCACTACCAACGCTACAGAAATAACATGATATTAAGAACAACTTATACCAATGAACTTGACGTTTTGGATGAAATGCAGAAGTTCTTTTTACAGTACAACTTGACAAAACCAATACAAGAAAAAATAAAAATTACAAATATCCCTTATACAAAAATCCTAAACAAACTACTATCAAATTTAAGCTGGTATATATGTTTGAAGACTTGGAGG